GGTTTCCGGCCCTCGGATAATTTTTTTGGCCCTCCTCTGGCCCCACTCCAGTTGGACTGGTCCATCCATCAAATCCGTCTCTCTCCAGAGACAAGGCTGTCGCGTGGGACAATGTCAAAGGCTTTGTGCAAGTCCAGGTAGATGACATCAGTTACTCTCCCCTTGTCCACCAACATTGTAACCCCATTGTAGAAGGCCACCAAATTTGTCAGGCACGATTTGCCCTTAGTGAAGCCATGCTGGCTGTCACCAATCACCTCCTCATTTTCCACAGGCCTTAGCATAGTTTCCAGGAGGATCTGCTCCAGGATCTTGCCAGGCACAGAATCATAGAATCATAGAGAGGTGAGACTGGCTGGCCTGTAGCTCCCTGGGTCTTCCTTTTTTCCCTTTTTAAAAACTGAGGTCACATTGCCCCTTTCCCAGTCCATGGGAACTTCACCAGACTGCCACAGCTTCTCCAATAGGATGCACAGTGGCTTGGCACAACTTCATCTGCCAGTTCCCTCAGGACCCGTGGATGCACTTCATCAGGTCCCAGGGACTTGGGCACCTTCAGCTTCCTTAGGTGGTCCCAAACCTGATCTTCTCCTGCAGTGGGAGGTTCTTCATTCTCCCAGTCCCTGCCTTTGCCTTCTGCAACTTGCGCGGTGTGGCTGGAGCACTTGCCGCCGAAGATTTAGGCAAAAAAGTCACTGAGTCCAACATTTGCCATGTTGGGACTTTTTAACTCCTATCTCAGCTATCCAACCATAGCGCCCAAAGCCCTTTCAACAAAACGAAGAAGTACTGAAAAATAATCCGTTATTATCATCTTGAATTTTACTTCCAAGAGTAACAAGCCACAGAGATCCAAATACAGGCACAGACAAAAGAGCAGAACAAGTGTGTTTCCTGCTTATTGTTACAGGGTCTGACTGGGCTTAGAAACCCCCCAAAACATCGACTAGCTCCGTTTTTAATCTTCTGTGTACAGCTGCCTCCAAAATCTTCCGGCAGTTTTGCAGGAGTGAGCCACCTGTAACTGAGCAGCTTTATGCATCTGAGAAACAATCAGCCTGCACAGTTAAAAGTTTTACATTTATAAGACATAAGTTTCACATCTTTAAAACAAGAGAATAAGTATAGGGTATGCTGCTACATTTCCGTTTAGATAACCATTACTGGAACTCAGTCATAACCCCCCAAAGGCACACTGAAGACTGTAATACACGATGATGCTTTCTGAGCAACTTAATGGATGGTTTTTAAAGAAGTATTAACGCAGTAAAAGGTTTGTAATGCGAAGTGGTCAAAACATTTCAGGAGCTCTGAAGTTTTGTGTGCCAAAAACCAAGTAAAAATGAAGGATGAGAGGAATTAATAGGAATATGGGCAGGGCTAAAAGCAGCAGAGGCTGTGCAGAGTTTTAGAAAGTCCGTGGAGAATGGAGTCCATGGAGAAGGTGCATTAACAGACATTTTTACAAAGCGATTATCACTTAGCATCAAAGCATAGTTCTGAAGCCTGTTACAGCCACTGCAAGTTTGTTCTTATCCTCCCAGCTAGAGCAGAGCCACAGGCATCAGTTTCTTATTTCAGCAGCGCAGGGCTTTGACGCCTCCCGTTTTGTTTTTATTTATGTCACTAGGTATCAGACAACAAAAACCAGCTCAAAGCAGTGCAGCGGATGCACTGGGACAGTGGCAACATTTATGACGGTTCTTAGTTCCTAGAGATCACTCCATATCCTAGATTCACCCATGAGAAAAAGTGATCTCCTGTGCCGATCCCGCACAACGCTCCTACAGCCCCCAAGGGCTCTTCCAAGGGTTTGCACATCAAGCCCAGCCTTTTCCAAACACTGACAGAAAAACAACAGCTGCTGTGACTATAAGGTGTTTTAGGATACTGGCTTCTTACAGCACACATGATTTAGAAAGCACTGCAAAAAGCTTCACCAGGAATGAGCTTCCTAGCC